TCAAAATCCCAATCCCAAATTTCCCAAGCGTCCAAACCCAATGGAAATCCTGCATTTTCCCTTTTTCCAGAGCTCCTCAGTTTTAGGGCCGAGGCCTCGTGGCTTTGCTGCTCTTGCCCCCGATGTCCCAGAGCTGGACTGGCACAGCTCAGCCCCTGATGTTGTCCCCTGTCCCCAAATCCGGGCTCTCCTTGTCCCGGGGTGTCCATCCACCRTTTTTCCCACTCTGGGATCAGGATTTTTTTGCCAGCCGGGTTTTAGGGTTGTCTCCTGTGCCCATGGGAGTCACCAAGGCCATGTGTTTTGGCGTTTTGGACACCTCTGAGGGGTCCATCTCCACAGCCCCAGACCAGCCTGGTCCTTCCTGGTTTTCCAGGATGGCTTTTGGGCCCATTCCCGGCAGATCCCTGGGAACCTCTTCCCCTTTTGGCAAAGCTGGGATGGACAAAGGGAGACACAATTTGGACAAAGTTTGGGTGGACAAATGGGGACACAATTTGGACAAAGCTTAGGTGGACAAATGGGGACACATTTTGGATAGATTTTGGATGGGAAAAGGGATTCCCACTTCTTTCCATGCTGGGATTGGGGTTTTGCACCAGCCAGGATTTGGGGTTGTCTCCTGTGCCCATGGGACTCACCGAGGTCACRTTTTTTGGGGTGGACACCTCTGAGGTGTCCATCTCCACTGCCTCAGAGCAGCCTGGTCCCTCCCGGTTTGCCGAGCCCAGATGGGTTTGGTTGGGARTAAATCCTTCCCGTCAATCCACCCCATGCCAGCCATCCATCAGCCTCTCACTCCTCCCGCACTCCCGCCCGGGGGCTCCTCCTCTCCCTGTCCATCTGTCACGTCGGTGTCACATCAATCCTGGAGCCGTCCCCTCTCCCGGTTGGGCCCATCCATCAAATCCTCGTTGTCCCCACCGAGGGTGCTCCTGGCTCCAGGGACGCCACAGGCACTGACGGCTCTTTCTGTCCCTTTCCCCCGGCAGTGGCGCCCAAGGGCCCGAAGATCACGATGACCCCRACGAGGGCGCGCGTGGGGGACACGGTGCGGATCCTGGTGCAGGGATTCCAGGTCAGCGTTCCCGTGGTTCCAACGGGCGGCCACGGTACACCCCGAGATTTGTGGGGTTGGGTTGGTGGCCTYGGTGGCATCGTGGTCCCTGGGTTGGAAGGGGTGGCCAAAGCTGTGGCCACTCCATCCTGGAGGTGTCTGAGGACAGTTGGGTGAGGCTTGGAGGAACCTGGGGCAGTGGGAGGGGTCCCTGACCATGCAGGGTGGGATGGGATCAGATTTAAGGTGCCTTCTGATCCAAACCCAACCCCAAACTCAGACCCAACCCCAAACACAGACCTAGCTCACACCCAAACTGAATCCCAGACCCAAACTCAGACCTGAACCAAAATTCAAACTCAAACTCAAACCGAATCGAAAACCCAAACTCAGACCTGAACCAAAATCCAAAACCAAACTGAATCCAAAACACAAACTGAAACCCCAATTCAAACCCAAACTCAAGCTCAGACCCAAGCCCACACTCAAACCCAAACTCAGAACAAAACCCAAATGCTGACTCAAACCCAAATTGAATCCCAACCCCAAACTCAGACCCAAACTAAAATACAAACTCAGACCCAAATTGAATCTGAAACCCAAACCCAAATGAAAACCCAAACTCAAACTCAAGCTCAGATCCAAACCCACAATGGAACAAAATGGAACAGAACAAAACCCAAATGCTGACTCAAACCCAAACTGAATCCCAACTCCAAACCTAAACCTAAACCAAAACTCAAGATCAAACCCAAACTCAGAGTGAGATGCAAA